TGTGTCTATGGCTGAAACCTTTGTTGCTTTCTCGATTCGTTTGGTATTTTGCTCACTCATCTTATATCTCACGCTGTCTTCCGTTTCTCTTATCACACGCGAGATCACTATCCTTTTTAGGCAAGAGATGGTGTTGTCCTGAAGCAACCTGTGGTTAATGTGATGAGTTCAGTTGCTTCTGAACACAGGGAGGTATTCATATTTCTGTCTGCTTGACGAGATAGTTTTTGATTGAAGGCTCTTGGCGCGTCGAATACCTTCATCTCAACCAAGACAGAAACGCTGAAAGATAACCTTACCTACTGCAGCGAGGTCTAAGAAACCTCATCCACGACCATTCCTGCCCCTGCCAAAGTCTGAGGTCCTGGGAAGCAATACATCTGGGGCGTTGCCCTCGAGAACATGACGAGACCTACAACGGTCTTTTGGCATCTCATCAATTCTCCCTCGTCCTAGTTGAGACAGTGATTGACTTCTCTTTGGAAAGTACTCAGATCACCAAGCCATCTAACCTCTCCGCACGCCCCTGCGTCACCGTCACATACCCGCCGGCTACGTCCATGCTGAAGTTCTCTCTACTGACTACCTAGCCAACCTAGAGTTCCTGCAGCTTGGTATAACCCGGTGGAAAGGAGGTCTGGCAGCCCAACCAGGATAATAAACCGCAAAGCCTGCAGATCGACCTGGGAATGGCCGGATCAAGTTACCAACGGCCTTCGCCACTTCCCGTTGATGTTAATGACTTGGGTATTGACTCCAAGTTTGGGAAGAGAAGACTGGAAAGAACAGGGTTAAACGTGTCAAGATATGCGGGAAGACACAAGATAAGGGCCCTGTCGAGAGCCCCGTCGAGGAACCCATTCAACCTGCCCAGGCTGCTTTGTGACTTCAACCCGTTCAACTTATGAGATCCGTTCCAATCGATTTGATTCTTTCCCATTGACATACTCCAAGCAATCTCCGAAAAAGACCCCCCTGCCGTTTTTACCCGGCGTCTAGACTTCTACGCTGGTTTGGGGGACCGTAATACACGTAATAGGCCCAATGACTACGCCGCCACTGGGTTATAAGACTGCATGTTCAGAGGTTGCCGAACACAGCACGTTGCAGCGAGTGGAAGATACTAGAACAACATGAAGGCACTCCATAACGCGTTTTCTCGCCTTTCCAACTATTAGACGGCAGCCGGGGGAAGACCATCGCTATCAGAGGAGTAATCTCCATTCGATACCCTGCGGGAGGAGATCATTATGGTGCAACAGAGGCAGACTCTGGCCTCTTGCGACCGGGAGGAAAGGCAATAGTGCCATGCACTGTTCTCGAGCAGCGAGTCGTGTCATGTCATTACTTACGAACGTATGATAGCAGACTCAACTTTCCTTCTCTATGGGCGCACTTAACACCCCAGGAGGCACGATTCGTGCCGCGACAACGGCGCTATTTGCATCCAGACCGGTGGGGCATTTGTGTTAGCCCCGAGGCGTGAGCGGGGGATGCCAACTCGGGGACTTGCGGGGTGAGTTCGTCCTCGCAGAGGCAGGGCGGATGAGGACTGAAGACGTCAGGATTCGCGGACTCAGGGCCCTAGACGATCAGACGGGCCATGTCAGCGTTGAGAAGAGCGAAGTCTTCGGGCGGCTTTGGAGCGGCGACGATAGGTAGGGCAGCCAGCTTCCTCTTTGAGTATTAAGGGATCTGACTGTGTCCGGCACCTCAGCGGTTCATAGAAATGCTGAATTTGCTTCAAGAGACGTCTACAATTCAATGCGCAACTGCGATGCGACCTTCTCCAGAAGCCGCAAGAACCGGATATCTGCCGATTCTGACGACCAGTTGTAATTGGATGATTGGGCTGGTCACAGTTAAAACCGGCCGGACGACGGTAACGACGTTGTCGGCAGCGACGGTGGCGCCGCCATGCGGCTCTTTTCGATGGACATGCTACCGTCGGGACCTATGCTGGGCTAGGATTGGAAGAAGAAACGTCGTCTGGTGTGGAAACCGGAGCAGCTTAACGGGGTGAAGGCTGTTGGCGATGGAATCCGCGGTGAAAGGGTCGATCAGGTGTCTGCAGCCATTGCAGAAGCCACTCACCGCAAAGCTGAAATCTGACATCAGCTACAGTCTATCACAGTTTCAGGGGAATCGGGCTCAAAGCGGGACACACATACTTTTGCAGCGTTAGCCAGCCGGTGAACAACGTTTGATCATAACGGAGGAGGCCAGCGAGAGAGACCAAAAGGAACATAATTTAGCTGAGGTCGCAGACGACGTTTTACCGAAGGTCCTGATTAGGATCAAGCGATTAAGTGTAGGTTGAGTGATTGGGAGTCGAGGGACCTGCGAAGGCCATCGAATGAGGAGCTGGCACTGAGACGCGTAGCGGATGATAGGTGGTCGGGCTTTTTGTGGGAGACTGCCTATGTTTCCTGTGTCTGCGCGGCTATATTTCCTGTGTACTTAATCGCTCCTATTCAGACGATAGGAGCCGCGACGACGACGATAACGACGGTAGAAACGACGACCATAATAGAAGCGATGACGACCGTAGAAGCGACGATAACGATTGAAGCACGATGATGAGGTAGAATAGCCACAGGAAAAGTAGTCGACACAGGACAGGAAAAGTAGGCGGTCTCTTTCGTGGGCGTGCAGCCGCAAAACGACGGCGGTAGATTATACCAGTGAATCAAGACATTCTCCTCAGCGTAGGAAAGGCGTAGTTCTTTCTTCCAGCAAGAGGCGACATTGAGTAATTAACGCGTTGAAATTGAGCGTGACAAATGTGTTAGAGCCAGGGCTGAATGGAGGAATGAGATGCCAAAGGGGCCGCCGGACAAAGCGCAAGAATTGGTCGGCGATATTCAGGTTCAAGGCACTGCAGGTTGTTGGTGAGAGACTCGGAAGATGCCAAATTCCGCGATAGGGATGCTGTAGACGATTGTTCTAGGTCTGCATTAATCTACTCATAGCAATAGATGTTGAATTGCGGGCACCGGGAGGGGGTTTCTTCTTACGTTAATGTTTGTTCGTGTGACACATGGCGGCAGGTGAGCTCGGATGGGCGAAGTAATTGGTGAAAATACGCAAAGCGGTAGAGAAGTAGAAATTAAATAGAAGAAAAGCCTTGGGAGCGCTTGGAGAGGATGAACATGGGCCCCCAGGGGCTGATAGAAAGCGCGGTGCTGCTTGCGAAGACACAAAAGCACTGCAAGTAATTGATTACGCCTGTGTTGATCGCCATTCTGAATCTTGATGTGATGAAGTTGATTTGAGTGAAGGTGAAGGCGCCCATCCACCTTCAGGGCATACCGTCGGAGACCGTGACCTCAACAACCCTCAGAGTAGCGCGGCAGCAAAGTCACTCCGAAGTAGACCAGCCACTTCACCCCAACACAGTCACGTCAGTATGCTGACACCCTAGGGGCGCGCTTGGTTTCAGGGACCGTCTACCACTTGAGGTTTAGCTCTTGCTAATGAGCAACGTGGAGAGGCTCCGAACTACCGTTATATTTGGCGCTTACCGGACGTACCTTACGGAGGTCCAAGTAGGTGGGGCCGGATATTCCACGCCCCACATTCACCCGTGAGCCGTCCTTGGCGCCACCCGACCCGGGCCTCCGAGTATGAGCCCCGCAGCAGGCTGAAACCGGAATCCCTACGCTGCTTTCGCTCAACCAACAAAATTGAAAAATTCCAGCCAGAGCACTGCGTGAACAGATTTCTGTGTTGGAAAATACAACGATTCAAATGCTTCAAGCGACGAGACCATACCTCATTCAATGTGAGTATCGACCCAACATCGACATGGCACCAATGTCTATTCAGCACCGCCGGAGATTTTCGCTCTGTCAAAGTATGCATACAATCCCATTCTGGGTAAAAGACCTTAGTGCGAGGGGCCGTATTTACGAAATGATCAGACTGTAAGAGGAACAGGGAAGCTGGCTGAAAACCTGAGACGCTGGAGACAACATAAAAGACGAAGGACGAGAGACAGAGCTATCATTCGCATCACAGCACCTGCAGACTCAGGTCATCAATAGCTTTCAGTACAAGAAATCAGGACAGACATGTTGATTCGTGAGGAAAATTCAAGCCATACCCAAGTCCCAACCTCGCGTCGTTGCCAGTGAAGGCCTATCTCCCGTCACACCGAACCCTACCGTTTTCTTTCCCTCGCTTAGTCTTCTGCGGTATATTCTCTTGCCCTTCTCCGACTCCATCCTGTTCAATAGATTTAATCATAGAATCTCTGAACTGGCGACTGGTTTTGCGCTGATCATACTGGGGTGCCACGATAAATGGTCTCGTATATGTTGCCAAGACACCGCTGACGCTCAATGAGAACCAACATCGAACTTAATCCCGCCTTCTGGGCCGTTATCATGTCTGTGTCTGTGTTTATGTATCTAGCACAGTTTGAACTGTTTTCCGATCGAGCTTGAAACCAGTCGAACCGTTGGGATGAGCTTGCACGAGTTCTCGAGTGCCCATAAAGTCTTTGGCACGATGGGCAATCAACGTCTGGAACCAACCAATGCGTGATGATTGACGGTCGGTGTCATTGAATGGAATTCGAGAAAGCCTCAGTCGTGAGATTTGTACAGAATGTCTTTCAGTAGCTACTGCTGGCTCTATATATCACCAGCGTGGTGGAAGTGACGATTATCTTGCCTTGGAAAGTGGACCACCGGCAGGATGGCAACGCGTAGACATCTCCTACTAACGCCAGAAACTGGCCCTTTTAACGTCCCCGAAGTCTGCGCCTCGACATCCCGCGTTTCCGACGCCAACTCCGGTGCCACAGCCGCCAACATCTCCTGCGTTCGTAAACTGCAAAGTCTCTTGACTGGGCACTGACCTTGGTGCTTTTGATGCTTTCCCTCATCCTGTGAAACCCCATATCTCATCAACACATCCCCCAACATGGCGTTAACGCCGTCCATGTCGGTAACGTGGCCCTCCAGCTGCGTCAGCAGGGTCTCGATCTCGGCGCCCTAAGGCTGCATCGCCACGAAGAGAGACTTGTTGGACGCCTGCGCGTCTTGCAAGTGTGCGTTGAGGTTGAATTGCTGCGATGTCAGGTGCGGTGCGATGAGGGCTGTCATCATGGGAAGGAGGTTTGCGGCCTTGGGCGGGGTTTGTGGCATGGAAGAGTCGATCGAGCGTGTCAGCGTCGGGCTGTGGATCGGATCTCTCGCAGGAGGAATGGGATGCTCGCTCCTCTTCGACCTCGAACTGGTCGTGGTCCGCGTCGGAAGCGGTGGTGTGGACCATCCGCCTTAAGAGCAGGCCTGACAATGTCTTAAATCGCAGGTTACCGCCCGCTGGGAGCCCATAACCCACAGCAGCCGGAGCTCGCAAGTTGGGAACGGATCTCAAAGTGCCGCAACTTGATGAGCAATTTCTGGCCCTCAAAGAAGCTTGTTGCAAGAGTGCGGCAGTAATCCTGGAAAGCGAACCAAGAAGAGAGTGCCGTCTGTCGGGTGCTTGTACTCGTCCGGCGGTTTGACTGATGGCAATGGCGTGTGACTGCTGGGTTGATGATCGCCAGCTGCTACGTTGACGGAGAGTGGCTAGCTCGCGGGGCACGAGAGGACGCATGCCACTGTGGAGAAAATGAGACGTGCATCTCTCAGCCTTTAGGGGGAAAGGTGGAATTGCATGTCTTCAGTTGGATGTAGTCGAGTCTGGGGCCCTGGTGGGAAGAAGTTAGCGAGAGAAGCATTGGGGTGCGAGATTGACCAGAGATGACCCACCGATTCCCATCTATGTCCTTGCGAACGTGCCACGAGAGCAAGCTGAAACTTTTGTCTGGCATGCCTCGAGCCAGCAGTGTCGTTGCAATGGTACGGAATCAGGATAGCAATGAATGTGCGGAGGTGACGTTGGGAGAGCAAGGTGGGCTCCAGCGAAGGAGAGGCAGAGATTTGAGGTTGCTTCAGAGTGAGTGGGGGTTGGTCGACGCAATGTTTGGCTGGCCTTGCCGCATGACCATCGGCGCTTGCCCTGACCATTCCGTGTTGCATATCAGGCAAGTGAGGACGCTTATCGGTTCGCTTATCTCACGCGTCACGCGTCGCGCTCCTCCGCAGAGCTGCGTCATGTTAACTGCTCGGGCGGGGTGCTGAGCTTGTCTGGCCAGTGAGAGAGGTTTTCTGGCCTGTGGGAGAGGTTTTCTGACCAATGAGAGAAGTTGTCTGACAGACATCCTACGGATTGCTTATTCATCCTTATCCTGTTCCCCCACAAGGTACTTCCCCGAGAAGGTGCTTACAAACGAGTCCCTTCCTGCTGAGATTGAAGCTTATCTTACTGGCAACTGATGCCTTGGCTGGGCGGCTGGCATATGGGAAGAGGGAGCCGGTCCATGGTGGGTCGACCTGGTAATGAAAGTGCCGCCAATGCTCCTTGCCTTCACAGAGACCACAGAAACTGTGCCTGCCTCCCAATACCTTGTCAGCAACCATCTTATCAGCCGGACCACTGATTATCATCTATTTGCCCGTGACCCACCGCAGGCTCCTTCCATTCATCAAGGTCACAGGTATGTGCCCACCTTGACAGCCAATCTTCGCGTCCCTGCCGATCCGTTTCAAGCACCTCGACACCTCAAGCTCACTCGGACGAGCACTGTGAGGCTGGTTCAGCGTACCAGACTAGACGAAAAAGAGTCGCCAAATAATTCTGGCATGAATCATCGTCACCATTGTCTACGGACTCCAGTCCAAACCCTTGCTGAGGCCCGCCTGCGCCCTCCAGGACTCGGGTTCGCCGCCGCCGGCCGCCGTAATCGCTCCGCCCCATCATGTTTATCAGGAAGCTCGCTGCAACCATTCACTAGCCGACATTGCTTCCCGCAACCTTGATGTTTATCTCTGTATCGAGCTAGCCTGCTGCTTCGGTCCCGTCGGCCACCTTTCCACACATGAGCACTGACGGGCCTCCCAACCCCTGAGCGAGACGCCACCACCTCCAATCCCACCGCCTCCATTCAAAATCTACCCGAACGCCTGCGCCTGTAATGACGACAATGGTTAAATCGAGCTCGCTCGTCAATTCCACGCGGCCCTGTCGGACGGGGAAATATATGGACTGTCTTTCTCGCCGCTATCGCCCACGTAGCGCCTCCGCCGACGATGCAGACCATCCATGTCCTCCCCATCTCGCTGCCGCTGTACCGGCAGAACAAATGGAAAGAGCTCGAATCAATCGCCGATGACTACCTCGCCGTCGTCTTGCCGCTGTCTGCATTGCAATCTTCTCAATCGGAGCGGTCCCGACTGATTGCTAGACCGCTTTGCGCAACACCTGACAAGGGGGCGATGGGTGCGACCTGCATCGACGTCTCGACGCTCCCTCGCCATCCCCCATATTTGCCTCGTCTGCCAACTTTCTTGGGGTGTCGTTGCCACTATCGTCGTGCTTCTTCGATGGTTATCGGGACATTGCGCATCAGATTTCTCAAAGTCTGTCTAGGATGCGTCGATGCATCATGCGGATTGACATCGGCTAATGTGGTGCGACAGGACGAGATGGCCGTTGTGGAAGAAGGAATCGCTGAAAATGCTCTCTGGGATATTTCGAGTCGACTGATGGATTAAAGCAGAGCCTCCATCATTCTCAATCTGTCCCTACCGAGTCGCCGGTTCCTTTCCGCCGATGCGAAGCCCAGAGAAATACCGCAGCATTAACGTTGTTGCAGTTTCGTTGCCCGCGCACAGCATTCCTGTCAAGCACATTGCCACCTTCATTCTTGTTCCTGCAAGACGCCAGGTTTCAAAGCCCACGATAAGCGCCTCGGTCTGCCTCGTTATCCATTCGTGCCTCTTGTATCTCGCGCCTTGGGACATTATTTGCCATACGGTCAAGACTACTCGTAGGTAGCTTTGGGGAATGAACTAAGCGACAGCACCATACCACCAGCAGAGGTTGGGCTCTGGGAACTGGTCTGGAAGTCTTACGGAGAAGCTATTGGACGCAGTGTTTTTGCATGGCACCTTTATCCAAGTCACTTCCTGAATGAGGCTGATGGGACTGGGCGCTGGAATTTATGTGCTGTTAGCAAACAAATTGAGCTTGCTGAAGTCGAAATAGCACCCCGTCTGCTGATGCTAAATCTCTACTAACGCTTGAGCAGCGTGGAAGACACCCAATGGGGTGCCTTCAGCCAGAAATTAGACTCCATCGACTTCCAAAGTATCACCAATCTGAAGATTCCATCTATCGATCAGGCCAATAAAGCCAATGAAGACGGTGCTGAAAGCGGAACATTCAAGGTGTGATACGCCAGAAGGGTTCGGAGACAGAAGCCGCAACTCAGAAGGAGCCTCTCTCCAGGCAGCTTCAATGCCCCTATCCATTGGCAAAGAACACGGTCTTTGCCCAGATACAACTGCTACAGCTCGTTCAGGTCAATCACCGCGAACAAGGGTAGAAGTATTGTCGCCACCGTTGAGCTCATGATGAAGCGGTGAGCCACACATACTTTCCACACGTCTGAAGAACAGATCTTGTTCTGTGCGTCCCCCTGAATGTCGAATTGGTGTTATTAAGAAGCCACGAAGCGTAAAGTTCGATCGGCTACAACGGAACGCCGGGCATGTTCTCCAATGAATGCTGAATAGGAACTCCATGTAGGTACATTCAGACTAATCATAGAGGGCGCTGAATATGACGTCCCATGCGATTTATCTTTGATTATTGGGTGATGGAATTGCCGGATGCCTAGCACGGAGACTTTTTGTTCACGTTGGTGAACATTTCCGCTCCTTCAATAGCTACAGCAGCAATGAACCTTTTTGCACGATCATGGGGCTGTTGATACCTTGAGGAGTGATGCGGGGCAGCGTGAAGAGAGAGATGCCTGCCCCCTAGCGATTCGCGCTCTCTTCATATGCCCCCATAGGTGGCCATAGAGGTTTCTCTGTGAAGCCCAGGCCATCCTGGCCCTCGAATATTTCCCCGTGAGAGTTATACAGTAGTTAACAAGGTACGCCTCTAGGCGGCAAACTACGAAGAAAAAGTTAGAAGGGAAGAAAGAGAGAGTGATGCGGACGTCAAGTGAAGCAAGCACGAGAGACAACTGGGGTCTCGATACTCAGCATTAATCGACGTTTTCAAAGTCTCAGTGATTGAATCTACTTCCAAACTTCCATCGAATTCTCGCCAGGTTCCACTAAGTCCCCGTGGAGTAGGCAGGCGGGCATGCCAAGCAGTGGCAGCAGGATGTTCATCACCAAGGTATCTCACGCACCGATTTCAGAGAGGCCAGCCTAATCAGCAACGGGTAATCGACTAATGTCGGGCGGAACAAGTGGGGTTATCTGTGCACCTGTGCAGGTTTTTGTACATGTACGGCGTCGCACTTGTGCAGACTTATTTCTAAATTTACGGATTCATGCGTACTGGTACAAAACCTGCACATTGGCGACCTTGCTCGGAGGCTTTGGCCTGGGACAGCCTTATGATGCTTCAGCCAGGCTTGCGGTGAAACGCACACATAGAAGGATTTCCAACATATTCGTCCAGCTCGACTGACGCGGCCCTGAGATTGACCGCTATGGGCTCAGAGCATGGCGAGAGTCCTTGTCAAAGACTCAGCATACTTTCTTTTCAGTCCGAAAGTGCCGCTCATCGCAATCAGACGTCTGGCCTTCGTCTCTCATGCCTGGGGCTGTCTGAAACCAAGGTAAAATGCGGCGACCATCGTCACTAGTTTCGAAGGAGTTTACTGATTGCGAGAGAGACACAGGGTTGGCTTGGTTGTGGTGAAGAGTGCGGTAGGTAGTAGGTCTGTTGCTACGATATGTGGCTTGAACCCGGAAGTTATGTACCTGGTGAGCTTGAATCTCCTAAAGATTAGGAAACTCCGCAGCAATTCAGCAGCATGTGGGCCGGAGAGTTGCGCACAAGAGCAGATGTGTCGGCACTTTTGCACAAGTGCAGAACTGTTCGGACACAGGCAGGTGTACAAGTGCCCACAACAGTTCCCAATGGCTAGTCTTGATGAACCATGGAACGTACCATTGGCCTGGCCACACTGCACTGTGAAGAGTTTTCAGAAGTGAGTTGGGCCAATGTACGTCTGGTTCACTCAGAGTCACAGGTGGTGTTGGTAGAACGGCCCACCTTTGAGGACCGAACGCATTGGCCTGAATCCCGCCTCTGCGCAAGGGATCAGCCACACCACTTTGTCCTTGGGAAAATTGCCTGACTGACCTTGACCCGTCAGCTCCAATGCACCTTGGTAGACCTACCTTGGAGGCTTACACGAATAATCTCAACCTTTTCAACCGTCGCACAGTGCATCCATTCACACAAACATGTTGCACGTAAGGGGACTTCGAACATGTATGTCTAGCCAGCAAGGTAGGATGTTGCAATCTTGATAGAGCCTGCGCATTAACTTGAATTTCTTGAGGTAGCTAATAGAAAATCATCAAATTCGGCCACCAGCGTCAGCACCATTCGGGCTCGTCCTCTCTTGGTGCCGAGGCAAGCCAATAATCAAGTGGATCGAAACACGGAGCTACCAAGTATCATGTGATAACTATTGGAGAATTAAATGTCTGAAAGTATTCCATCCTGATCGCTGTCCAGGCGGCTGGCATTAATTGAGGAGCCGTTAGAAGAGAGAAATGACTTTCAACATCGTCCTAGAACGACCTCTCGTGACCACGACGAGACATATCTACTCTCTTTTGTGGTAATCGGTCCTGAGGTTGGTGTTACTCTGTCTAATAACACTCCCTCAATTGAAGACTTCGTGGCATGCTCCTGAGATTCCGGCCTCTTGGGTTATCAAGACATATTCGTCGACATCTGAGGCGCTCACAAGCCAAAATTTGAGAATCCGTACCACCCCGCGAACCTTAGCACTCCGACATAAGCCACCATATAGAACTATACACGGATCGTGATACACATCCGACCATAACTGGACATATCTTACGAACCATACTTCAGTCGCGACTTGTCATATGCACGAACATATACCGGGAGAAGAGAGCATCATAGTTGCCTGCCGAGGCCAAGGTATCTGAGGCCAGAGGTAATTTCTTCGGCTTGCGTAGTGCATGACTCGAGAAGCAAGAGCAGGTGCTGGGGCACACGACCGCAAGGTCCGCAGCTGCAGCTGGAGCTCCCTGATTTGGAAGATAATATGGTTAACGGTACATGGAACTCGATGTTGGTATCGATGGGCTTGGGCCTCGGAGCAATAGAAACGAAGATGAAAATGACAGGGAACCGCTTCCCCTCGGGAGGAGACTTGAAGCGCCAGTTGGGGCCCCTTGGTGAGGTTCAGTGGTCGGCTCTCGGCGTTGAAGCGAGCGATCGACTTAATGAAGAACGCGAAGGCGGCGTAGGGGGCGAAGAGCAGACTGGGGATAGTGGCAACGACCATGGGCGGATCGGGGGAGTAGGAGGGGGGGCACTTGCGCAGACCGGATCAATGACAACACGAAGACAATGAGGACGAGCTGTGGATTATCTTTCCAAATGGCACCACGACTCCTATCGGATCCGTCACATTGATCGTGACATTCCATGCCGAGGTATTGAGGTTATTGTTGACGCTGCTGGATGGTTGTTTTGGCCTCCTCTGTTGCTAGCAAGTCGTCCGCGAGTCTCCTCAACTGGCAATTCTGGCATTATTCCGCCGAAAAGATGCAGTTGTTCGTGGTGAGGAGAGTACGAAGACCGGGGGCTGGAACCACCGGAATGCGAGCGAGTGGCCATCGGTGGCCGAACGTTCTTCTGTTTGCCACGCCGTCGTGAAAGATCGGGTGCAAAGGCATGATAGGAGCTGAACGGATCTGAGTGGTAGTGGGTAAATGACTTCGGGTTACTGAGACCATTGAGGCTTAAAAGGCCATCAGAGGGCCAAGAAAATGACGAAAAGAGCACGTGAACAGGGAATCAGCTGAAGAATGACCTGGCAGGTCCAGCTTGGCAGCTAAGGGTGCCATCAAGACATCACGACGCACGAAACAGATCTCAACAGTCTGATATCATGGTGGTCATCAAGTGTTGGGAGAAGTTTCAAGCAGCTGCAGTCGCAGGGCTCGGCCAAGATCATGATGCCGTATGGTTCGTCCGCTGAGTGCAGGCTCAATTGTTCTGCAATTTGTTCCGTCTCCGGATCACGACTGGCCGACCCAAGCAAAGGCTGCGTGGGGTACAGGCGTTAATTGATGGTCCCGCAAACCCGTAGTAGTTGTCTTCACAGCCCACATGTCAAGCGTTCGTTCGTCAGAGAGCCAATATCCAGCACTCTATCAAAAAGCTTGGTATCAACACCAGCGGTACCCTTTTTGCTAGAGCGGAAATTGGAACTCCTGCTGATTCCACCACCTGCATCGGCTTTTCGTCTGTCAGGAGCGTGGGTACAAGCACTCGCTCCCAAATGCAGATTTCACCCAGCAAGTTGGGTGAAGAATGTGCAGAACCCTATGCCCTTGGTGGGAATGCCCTTGTTCATTATATTGCGAACACTTGCTTGGGTGGATGGCCCCTCGGCAAGACGGAAAGAGAAGGTATGTCATCGGGCGCACACCCTCAGGTGTGCTCGTGTCGAAAACCCAGACACCAAATAGCATTCGGTATTGATCCGGCAGAAGCCACTGGCCTTCGCTGCCGGCATCTGGCACGGGTGTGGATGATTTGGTAGGACATGCTGTGGGGGGCAAGGTGAGCAGGTATCGGACCGACTTGTCAATCACAACTGGGTCATATTGCAGCGGAAACGCAAGTAGAAGGGACATTGATATGATAAGTAGGGCCAGAATGCAGCTACAATCGTACCGGAGTCCGCGTTTCGCAGGTGTGGGCAAATCGATTGTGCTTTGAAGGACGCCAGCCGAGGTGTCGCTAACGGATGCTCCCTCGGGCCAAGGGACAGTTGTGATACTGAACAGTCTGCTCGGGCCTTGAAGCACGGTGTATGCATCGGGGAATGCAGGTACCCGAATGAGCTTCAAGCTATTGACAGAGGTGCTGGGCAGCCTGTGTTTCGTCGTCACTGAACGGTGTCGCTCTTTGCTGCAGAGGACACATGGCTGCGCGACCAACTGGGCCAAAGGTAGACAGCAGAGGCTAGAAGCATGCTCGGTTTGGAGGCGAGCCAAGCACACGCGAACCCCGGGAGGACACTTGTCTCCAGACCTCGAGAAGCACCCGTCAATCATATCAATCGAGATCATCTCCACCAATGCTTGTCGTTGGCTCGTGACCGAACACGAATGGCTGGTGTATCTGGGCGGTGGGAATCTTGAGCGCACTCATCGTCCCTACTGACAATTGGCTGGCGTTCCTGTGGATGCTTCGTGGCAGACGGTCAGGCTTCACGTAGAGGCTCGCGCGCCGTGGCTCGTGTGGGAAGCGAGGATTGGATTGACATTCTGGCGTCTGCGCGTGCTCTTTCGAGTCGGGAGAGTTGGTGACGTCGAGTTTGAAGGGAACTGCTGGAAGGAAACGTGGGGGGTCTTGGAGCTGTTCCAGAATTTCTTAGCATCTTCCTTCGAGGGAGGTTTGGAGTGGAATTCGGGACAACTGGAGTTACTTCGAAATCCTCACTCGTCAAGAGTGCCCGATGGGGGAAAGGTATTGGTGGATGGCGTGCAGAGTAGCACGATGGAGGTAGGATGGAGGTGGCATGCGGGTAACTTCTGGTTGCGGGCCGTCGGGCTTTTGACCGCCTACTGATTCTGACCAACTGCCCATTTTGACCGCTTGCTAAGTTTCGACAACTGCCGATTTTCTGGGCAGGCACCTTGTGCCATTCTGGGACAGTACTCTGCGGCGCCTGCAGCTCCAGGAACAAACTCAATAACGGTATCCTAAGGCTAGCCAGTCACATCACTGGTATCAGGTTACCAGACCACTAAGGTACCACAAAGTTTTGCATGGGCATGCCGTGTCTGACCAATCCCGTCGCCCGGCCTGGTGGCCCATGCACAATCTCGATAAGCTTTGATAAGAGCTTCGATAAGAGCTTCCGTGCGAGAATGTTTGAGAACTTTTACCTGGCTTAAGTAATGCGATTGGCTGAGCCATTCTTTTCCCCATTTCAACTTTCCATTTTTACTTTCGTATGGCAGATGCGTGAAGTGATTCGAATGATCTGGCTCGAGCGCCAAGTGGTATGGCTGATCCCTCGCGTCAGGACGGGGCATCCGCTTGCAGCAGGTCACCTTGCTGACTGCCGTATTGAGCATGAGCAGAATTGACCAATCATGTTGTGGCGGTGACACATAAAGAAAGTGGGGTGTCAGCCACCAAGGTTCTTGTTCCGTTCAATCGAACTGCCCACCCAAGTATGAACAGAGTGACATCCAATGCCTTGTACCTGACCAGCAACGGACATGCAATTCATGAGCGTCGGAAGAAATCCTCTGGAGCGATTGATTTCCAAAGCAATTTTTGACCTGAAATGTTCGCCGCACCACTTATTGTGCCCAAACCTGGCTGCACGGCAACCAGAGGGTAGACAAGCACCCGGGCATCCGCTCTCATCGCGCAGAGAGAAAGCCACTGGCATTTCTCGGGAACCGGATTATTCGACCGGAGAGGAGATGCGCCCTTTGATATTGAAGATCTTAAGAGGTTGGTCCCCAAATCGGCCAATGCGAGTATACGTAGCAACGGAAATTATTGGAGCAATGCGGGTGAAGATGCAGAGATGCTCGACAGAAACTCCAGTATGCTCAGCACGAAGTTCCATGCCCAGAGGCTCTTACGGAAACTAGCTTCCTTGTTCCTGGGAATGCTGCGACTTACCAACCACGGCTTCTGTGAACACGGAAGTGAAGCCAATTGAAAATGCGGCCGGTAAGCAGTCTGCAACGCTTGTCATCCATGGAAGTGGTGCACTGTTGTGAAGGGGCACCAGCGTCGGCTGGGCTTCGCATTTCTAAGCCAGCCATCTTCTCCCCCAAGGCACACCCAAAGGGCATATTAGTTGCTACTCGGGGGAGCTCGAGCGCAGCCAGGCCATGAACATTAGCTGAAAACATTCACGGCAGTTTCGGTGAAGCAGCTCTATTTAGATGTGTTCGTGGCTCTGAAGGAATGAGCCCTCCTTTTGAAGTCCATCCGGGGTGCCGTAGATAGTTCTAGCCGAGTTACGCTCAAGGCAATGGGCCATGGGCGCCTGACGGCCACAACTGTCACAACTGTCTTGTTCATATGCCAATTTCCTAAGAAAACAAGTCGTTCATCGTGTGAGGTTCGGGTGTTCCGGATGTGGGCTGAGGCTCAAATTCTGAGAGAGATTAGCCGATTTAGGCACCCTATCATCTGAAGGGGTGAACATCTGAGGAGTCGACAAATCAGAAGAGACCAGAACCAAGGTTTCGACCACCAGACTGGGCGTCTGCGAATCAACAGTATTGCTCCATGTCGGACGACTCCGGCGTACAAATGCTTTCATTTCTCTCAAGTTCACATCCAAGCCAACTTTTACCCAACCCGAGTTCCTTCCCCATGGCCTGAGGGCCGTTGGTGCTCTGAAGACGTCTATCCTGATCCTCTCCTTGCGGTCGTACTCCATCTCGAGCAATCCGGCGCCATTTTAGCTGCTTGGACCCTTCCTCGGTGTCTGCTACGGAGTTCATATTATCTTGGAACGCGTGCAGCTGAGATGACAGTCTTTGGATACGTTTGCTTCTCGAATGTAAATAGAACCTCCCCATTTTCATGGCGGAGATTAATCACCTCATCAGTCACGAGGGCGGCCCCTGCAGTGGGGTAATACTCGCGTTTCCAGATTTGTTGACACGGCTGTGGGCTGAATACCTCTCTGGTCATGCTGCGCTGTTGCGCTTTGTGATTAGCTGGCCGTCGACAGTTCGTGGACGTGACGCGCCACATGAGCAAATCCATGCGCTGTTGATTGACGCATGCATTTCGCAGTAATTGGGTTTTGGCACGAGGTCAGAGAGGCGTTGCCTATTATGCATACCTCTATTGGCTGGGCTATGGCGAATTTCCGTAGAGACCGTAATCTTGAATGAGCAGGTGCGTAAATCATAATGGAATGAATACTGAAGGACGCAGGGCAATAATGACGAGGGGCTCCGAGGTTCGAAGGATGCAGGCAGAGGCGAAGTCTGTTATATGATCAAGTTCAAGGGAGATTGGTGTTGGCTGAGAGGAAGGTAATTGACGAAAAATGGAGGCGACAGCAAGAGTCTCTCTCATTCCGAGATGGTTCTCTTCGTGCTTTATAACGACCACTCCCACTCCATCTCTGGCGAAACGGGAAGCTGGGGACACAATATCGGGAAACGGCTATGGAAGGTCGTAATGTTAGCAGATAGAGAAGGAGATGCAGTTTATGGGATGTCTTTCTCTTTCCAGACGATAATCTCGTCGTGATGGTGCTGGTAAACATAAATAGGGATGGAACCTGCCAAACCTAAAATTGGTCCCGCAATGGGCGTCGTGATCATTGGGATAGCCATTACTCCTGCGGCGGAAGTTAGTTCCGCCATTGTGAAGTATCAGGAAGCGGAAGCGTGCAGCTGCTAACCTAGTAATGGATTCGCGCACGCTTCAGTGCTGGGTGTCCAAATCGGGGACCACACAATCTCCAAGGAACGCGAGCATAAGCAACATCGTAGTACCAGGAATTCGCTCGACTTTCGCTAGGCAGGAATAAGCATGGCTACCTGTCCAACTGCCTGCTTCTCTGCGTAGAGGTTCAGTGGCATCCACGTTTGAATTTGTCTCCCTTTTGTGAACGGCTTTTTAGTCTTTCTGACACGGGCGTATTGGCCCTTCCTCTGCTTTATCTGCAGAAGCCTCATCTCTACGTGCAGTCCGCATCTAATCTTTCAGTGTCAATAATCTAAGGTCTCCAAACACCAGACATGTGCTTCGCTGTTCGACTGATCTGACTGAATACCTCAATGCCGCTGGATTTGTCGTTTGGTCCATTGACATGCTTTGTGGTCAACTTACTAGGCTTGGTTGTTCGATTTCGGTCGCGCTCCTTACATCTTATAGACGCCTCTCTATACGATTGTCGTATCGGAGATAACTATGCGGTGGAATGGGTTGGAGATGAAGACTGTCGTGATACTCGCGGTGACTATTCCAACCGACAACTCCGCTAACCCATGAGAAGGATGCAGTTTCTTCGACCCTATTTACCTCCAGCTCTTCGCTGAACACCTTTTCCTCACCCAATACACATAGCTTGGGCAAATGATTCGATGTTCTCATGTCTCATGACTGAGCTGTTAGGCATGTCGTCCTGTATCTTGGTGTCAAGGCCGAGCAGATGCTTGCTGGATAGCCAAACCCGATGCCATCAAGGGCATGCACATCGCGCTTGAATTGCCAGCTTGCGAGTTGCTGGTCGGCGACAGAGTATTCTCCAGTGAGATCCATAGCAAAGACTTCACGTCAGAAGCTGGCGACGAGGGGTGCAACGAAAGAATGCAAGTAAAGGCGCCTACAGCCGCCCGCCAGATACCACCATGATAGTTCGCGGCCAAAGAATTGCTGAATGGTCAGAGAAACCAAGAGATTCTTCATGGTAATGCAATGGAAGGCTTTAAACCGGTGGAAAATGCTGTCAATGCTGGTATGCAGGTTCTAGACGGAGAACAACCCGAGTTATCGTTTGCTGTTCGTGCGAAGACGGTGGGTGCGTATATACAGAGAATTCACTGCTGCAGAGGTCTGAGTGAGCATCATCAGCATGGAACATTTGAATTGGCTGACCCTCAGAGTATGAATGGGTGGCGTCAATTGCAGTATAAAGCTCTGCTGTCATGGCAAGCTGTGGCATAGGCAGTGGAATCCAAGTGTACAGCATGGATCAACTATAGTGGACGGACGGCTGGTGATAGTTGGTGACGATGGATGTCCTACCTGAGCGGGCTTCCAGGCTGAAGAACCTTTCTCCTAAAATTGAGGAGATTCGAGAACCATATCTGTCTAAGGTCAGAAACTGCCTACTCGGAGAGTAATTTCTCATAGTGGAGCTATTCTGGAAATGGCTATCTACTGAGACGCGACCAGTGGGCATCTTTTCCAAACCTTTAATTTTACTCACCAAAATTCATTCGTGCGGCGGGCTTTCCTCATATGATGACATCAATGTCTCGGTCCGTAATTGTAGAATGCCACCCGGCCAAGTTGTGTGGACGACTCGAACTCTCAACGGAAAACTGCTTTCGGTACGATCGGCATGAGGATTTGGCGGTTGAGAAGTTCTGGGGAAACCTCTTGCGATCGAGGTCTAAGAGACAAGCATGTTCTATTTCCACCCGAGCTGGGAGCGCTGACCTACCGGCTGGTCCAGCTCACTGTGCTCTGCAGGCGTGGGCTGAAATATCACATGCTTGCAATGGGCTCCTAGTCAATTAGTCAATTATATTAGATGCTCTTTGATGAATTAGCGAAAAATCAGGGACATGATCAAGAAATTCGATGTGTCCATGGTCTTCATGTTGAGCAGACAAACACGTCGACCTGGCCCGCATCCCTCACGTCGTCTGTTTTCAAGGTCCATGTTGACAACATGCCTTTTCCTCCTTACCGAGGCTACATCTCCAATGGTACTCTCAACGAAGTTGATGTGACGTCGGTATCTATCTGGAACCGAAGCAACGCATCAGGGGACCGCTGCAGCTCGACGGACGAGCTGCCGTAGCGCACCGTGACGACGGTCTCTAGCCTCGCGTCCGCCAGGAGAAGCGTCTGCTCCTATTAAGTTGAAATGGATTTAATCCGTAGGCCTTCTGCCGAGTAATAACTTCATATACTCTGGAATGACTGTTCTAGTGAATCAAAGCAATATTTAGGGATTTGATCCCTCGCTACAAGATCTTTAAACAATACGTACTAGCATTCATCGCCTGAAATGCAATATAGGATGAATACTACGCCGGGATCTTCACCACCGATATACACGATACAGATAGAATCCATCGTTTTCTACAAATCTCCAAAGAGACGCTCGCCATTTTGTCGATAAGTCCGTACCACCAGACTTCCCACCATCTCCCCATCCATCTCGTCGGCCTGGTCCTCAATATGCCAGTCAGCCCTGTTGACCACAGCAAGAACTTTGACAGTCACTGGGGATTTCTCCGCCAAGTGAACCATCATTCGTAGTAAAGACCGGCCACCCTTACGGCTCGTCTTGCTGCTCTGTCCCGGCATTACATGGCACCTATCTACGCGATCAAGAATGATCCAGACTGTCTTTCCGGCATCAAACATACTCAGAGTCCTGAGAGCTATGCGCTCCAGCTTTTCAGTCACATCCGTTGGTTTCGTTTTTGCAGAGTCGGCTCTCAGGTTGGCGTAGGATTGCAAATCGGCCCAGAGCTGACGGCATTGCTCCTCGTTCCGCAAGGCCCTCTTATTCAACTCTAGCAGTTGGTAAGTCAAGAAGCAAGCAACGTGGTCCCAGGTGTCATCTTCATCACGCAGTCCAAGCAGATAAAACACGTAGATGTTCGAGTCTGCGAGGCTCTTGTCGCTCCTGAATCTGGCAACCATGTTGAGTGCCACTGGAGATACCCAGCAGTGGCGAGCGTTGCGGTTATCATTCGCACCGGAAATGACGAAGACGCGTGACTGGGAACAAACGAGCCAGTCCTGGTAAACCGAGTCGTTCTCAACTGCCTGCATTCTTTCCTCGACAGTCGCGCCCGAGTAGTCATTCTTCCAACTAAATTCAGCAGCAACATTGCCTTGATGTCTGCTGAGATTGACGTGTCGGTTGTCGTCCGGGAACGGAAGAACTTCAAGGAGCTTGCTGATCTTCTCAAGATTGATCTTGTCAGTGTTTTCTTGGAGGTCTACAATAAGTTGGTATGATTGTTAGCTATTTTTGGGGGAGCTTGTTCGCTATTCCGAGAGTTGAGGGACATGTTGAATCGGTTTTCAAACGAACCTGACAGTTGCCGTTGGAGGCCTGAATATTGCATCAAGTTAGCGGCAGACTTTTAGGAGATGAACCGGCCCTAATCTAAGAAGAATACTGACCTATGTTTATTGCCTTGACGTCCCTAAGTTCGTTCTTCACGGTGTCTACGTTCTTGTTGAGGAGGTCTTCGCACAGAAGTCTAACATCGACGATTGATTTTTGCACCAAAGCGCTCCGCTCGTCAAGGTTTGTGTTGCTTTGCAATGATTGAAACCATCGACCTTGGTCTATGAGTTAGTAGCCATACCGATGAGTGGTTTCAAGGAGCTTACGGAGACCGCCCCGAGTATAGAACTCGAAAGCTTCCATGCAGAAACTGATAAAGCTGCTGTAGGCTTCTACAATCTTACTCTGTAGCTCTCTGTCGAGCTCGTGGTCATCGGCATATATACGTTGATATACTTTGATCCCTGGAAGTCGATCCTTGATATGCAAAAATGTAGTAGCTATCTGCTCTTCCATTCTTGCTCGGTTTTGTGCTACCTGCTTGATGTTATCGACCACCAACCAGAGCAAACTTCAAGCGGGTTTCAGCCGGGAATCTTACCACAAACACGAAACAAATTGTCCCGATCGCCATGCCGCCATACGGCGCCCCAAAGTCCTTGACAAGATCCAGGATGGGGCTGATGTTTTGCAAGATGTCGTTTGCCAATGCCGCCAAGTTGGTCATGCCCTTGGCTACCCTTCCTATCCCGATCTCGCGATTTGCATCGTATTGGGCTCTGGCCCCTTGGGTGGTCTTCCAGAAGCTTTGAAAGTCTTCGCGGCTTTGGACATCCAAGGCGTCCTTCTCTGTGACAAATTTGCGTCCATGGACGATTTTGTCCCTGAATTGCCCCTGCCTGGAGTCGCAATCCTTGAGTCTCTCCCTTTTTGACTTTGTTAAATGAGCCTCACTCAGCCTGTGGTCATTCGATATCTTACAAATTCTTCTCGTCGAATCGTTTGCCTCTATCAAGAGTGATTGGGTGGGTTTGTGAAGACATGGCGACAGGATTGACTGCGTGATCCCTGAAGCTTGATGCGGGGGAAAGGCTGTGCTGGAACAGGATATAAAAAGTCAATCCCTTGAGCAGCCATGAACGGGTATGTTGTCCAGGGGGTAGGCGGGGCGGGCGCTGGGTTCAAAGTTGATACATTAAGGGTGGTTCGGCTGACTTGGCAGAAATCAACGTGAACAGGCTCTCACGCCAATCGACGATTATCCAAGTGCGGATATGGGTGGTCTGTCGTTTTATCATTGGACTGAGCGCATATGAGGTGCATGAAATCTAAATTAGTGTCACGGCGCTAGCTCGAGGACCGACGAGGCTGCATCAATATATGCAGCTGCGCCTCCTCATGAAGGTTCAAGTGACACCAAAGCGGATGACAGCCGTCGGCCACTTGATTACAAGCCATGGTATTGGTGAGCCCAGCCCTTGTCCTTACCATTACCAATGCTGACTGCATTCCGCCCGTTGCAACATGTAGCAGGCTGCCGTACAAGGGTTCGGGTACCGTACCATGGAGTGCAAGCTTCCTCCGATTCATCGGGCGAGAGCCTTCGCTCGATACACATACTGCCACCGGAAAGATTTGAATGTGGCCTTGAAGATAAAAAGTCTTTCTGCACCCGTCCTCACGAACCTTCATATGCTATTGTGTTGGACACTTGATTCTCCCTCAAAATTTGGTTGGGCCAATTAAGTTGTATCCGAAGATGGCGGAAACAACGGAGACTCCCACAGTCACGGTTCGACATTTGACTCCATGTTTCAATCTTAAGCTGATGTTATCTCAGTCAATGGAGGCCAAGATCGCTGCCCTCGAGAAAAGGCTCATCGAGCTGGAAGTCAGAAACAAAGCCACCCCACTCACGGAGGCCGCCCTCGCCTTGAATGAAGTGGCGGAGAAGAAGAAGGCGGACGAGGCCACAGGAGATGACTCGAAGGAAGAAAAGGTGAGTGCGCAATAAAGCTTTGTTGAGCGCGACGATGATTAATCATGGTGCTACAGAAAGACGAACACGAGCCCGTGTCCAGAGTGAAAGTCGTCATCACCAGAAGAGATCCTGAGACCGGTGAGCCAATTGAAAAGGAGAAGAAAGTCGAGAAGTCCAAGGACGAAGAATTCGATCGCGAGAAATTTGCATTCATCTTGCGCAAGAACATTTACGAAAACAAATTTTCGCCGTATCAGACACCAAACGGGTCTGAAATCGACATTGTCAGCGAGAACCTATGGAACCTTCTCAAAAAGTACCTAGGCCACTTCCCTTACCACATGTTCCGCGAGGATCCTGTTACGCTCTCTTCACCTTACGACCACATCGTCTATGAGTATGATGACTTGCTTGCTGAGGCTGAAAAGGCCGAGGAGGATGAAGAGAACATGCAGGCCCGCAAGGATCTGAAGCTTTTGCTCGACACTATTCGAACCTCCTCAGGCGACGAGAAGTTGGACAAGTATTTCAAGATGCGGCCTAACTACAAGAAGCAGACTCCAAACACAATTCAGTTCGAGGACTTGTGGACGGTGTTCCCACCCGGCATGCTTGTCTATTGAAAACCATTCCAGGGAGAGGATCAGGTCTTCGTCGTAAAGGACAACCAGATGTTTTGGCCTTGGCGAGACCCGAGCATGCGTGAGTCGCTTCCTTGGAAGTTAGACGCGTGGTCTTACGACTGGAAGGACGGCACCTTCAGTCGTACTTTGTTCACTCTTGAGTTCCAGCAATTTGACGGACATCTGCCGCTCACCTCACTCCCATTCTACCCTTTCGACTTGTGTAAGGAGCAGGAAAAGATTCGAGAGGAGCTCATAAAGCGCGGCCAAAAGTTTCGAGAAATTTGCAATGCTAGGAACGACTCCAGGCTTTTTGACTACAAAGGACTCTCAATTCTGGAGACTAAAGGGTTTTCGGGCATGAAGCAGGATCAAGAGGCAGGGATTTCCTACAGACCAACTGGGCGAACTCAGAACTGACGGGAGATATGCACAGGTGGATGATTTTGATCTACGCTCGGCCAGCTCATTTCACATGGCTGACATGGCCAGAATGTATGGCTTCCCGCAGAGACAGCTCAACGAATCAGCCACATCAGCTGCCAAATCTGTCAACGTAAGCGTTTTAATTCTTGATTCCACAATCTTGCTGACACATAACTTAGATCCATAGCAGAGTGATGGTGGATTATGACGCGTTCTCTCAGTATGGAGGGGCGGATGGAAGGAACGGCGGGCTCAAACCAAGCCTGGGAGGCACCGGATGCGGTTGTTCAGACTGCCAGGAGAATGACGGGCTGTTGAAGCGGTATCGCACATGGTTTGATGACCGCAAATTTGTGAAACCCACGTCAACTTGGGACGATGAACAGTATCTCATATGCCCACCTCGTGTGCTGGGCTATATTCTCCAGCAAAAGCAGTGGGTCCAACTTCAAGTAACACAACTTGAAACTCTGGAGGCAGAGAACCAAGGGACCGCCTGGGAGTCCCGGCTTAAGTTGGCCGACGACATGGACAACATGAAGATCAAGAGGGGCAAGAAAGGTGAGATCCTTTGGGCTTGAAATTGAACACGGCTTAGCTAACTCTTCTCGAGTCAAAGAAGAAAACACTACGAAGGACCTTCTTTTAGATCTGGTTCGGTCTCATGCGTCTACAAAAGCGCGTAAAACTCATGTGGAGGAAGAAGACGACAAACTTGAGGTCAACGACATCATCTCAGGCAAGGGCAAGGGTCTCGTCATCCTACTGTATGGTAAGAAGCAACCTAACTCATGCGGATATTCTTTGTCGTGAAATTTACGCATTTCTCACAAGATTAACGGTCGCAGGCCCCCCTGGTGTCGGTAAAACGTCAACAGCCGAGACAATCGCCATCGCCACCCGAAAACCGTTGTTCTCTATCAGCGTCGCTGATGTAGGAACAAAGGCCAAGCACGTCGAAGCTAATCTCCAAAGAGTCTTCGATCTGGCAACGAAGTGGCAAGCGATTTTGCTCATGTTAGTGTTCCTGGTTTGGCTGGCTTGCAAACTTGGCTCATCATTTCGTAGTGACGAAGCTGATGTCTTCCTCGAGAGCCGCGGTCGAGGCAATGCTATCCGGTCGACAGACAAGAACGCTTTGGTTTCGGGTGAGTACAATGCATCAAAAGAAATTCAGCAACAGCAAGATGACTCCGGCCTTAGTATTCCTCCGTGTGCTTGAGTATTACCAAGGGATAATGTTCTTGACTACTAACCAAGTCGCCGACTTCGATGTTGCTATTCCGTCTCGAATTCATATAGCAATTCGCTATGAGACCCTTAAGGAGAAGCAGATGGAGGCTATCTTCACTGGCTTCCTGGATGAGCTGGACGACAAGGGTCTGGTGGATCAATACGATGATATCAAGGACTGGCTCGAAGAGGTTGTTTACAACGAGGGCTTCGACGGAAGGCAGATTCGCAACATTGTGACCACCGCTCTCGGTCTGGCGCGGGCTGAGAGTGGCCGTGGACGGAGCAACAAGCTGAACAAGACACACCTCAAGAGGGCCTTTTCCAATGTCAGCGCCTTCAAGCGAGACTTTGACACTCAGATGCAGCGGTACAAGGACAGTCAAGAGAAGATGATCAAGTAAGATTAAGGAGGACAACTTGTTCGGCGAGACGGAACTCCCGTCATCAGAGCGCTAGGTCTTGGATTTATTGTCAGGCTGCCCCATCACATTCGTTACAACGATTGTTACACCTTAAGCAACCTGACTTACTTAAATAGAAGTATAAGCAAGGTTAGCAAGGTTATTTTCATGCAAGGGGATCGTACACTCATTATATAGATACGGGGTTTCTTCCCCTAGCCAGTCGTTCATCATACTCATCAGTATACACATGATGACCCCTGCCTGTCTGACTACTGCTCGATACTCATTCTAGTCAGTATTGGAGTACACTGATCTCACCTCAGCCTACGACGATGCTGCCACTGTCGCTCAGCCGTGATGACAGCCAGCTCAAAAGCAATACTCAGCGACAGAAACAGGTCATGCTCAGGTTCATGATAAGGAAAGGATCTGCATTTGCCACCTACTTCTCCCTGTTTGCCCGGTGACTCCTGTGCGGGTTGTTCGCATCGAACACATTACTGCCAAATGCCAAAGCACTATCAACACCGGTATCATCGGTTCTAATACATACAACGCCCCAACAAAACAGTCCTCAATCGTACATCTATATGCAACGTCGACGAGCGCATCTAATTTTCATTCATTTGTCATGACCGCCTATGGGGCAAGATAGGCGGGAACATGAAGACGGAAAACCAGAGCCTGTGGCTTGTGTACTTTCGAAGCGTTCGCTGATGATGGAGGCCAGCCTTTTGGAAATTGTCTTGGATCCTCGTGTTTCGTGCCTATGCGGTTTCAGGTGCTGCTGGTATTGCGGTTCTTCTCACAGTCTCGATTCGGCCCAGCGAAAGCAGACCTAAGCAGAAATTTCCAGCCAGAATCCGTAGCCAGCATCAGAAATATGTCGTCTAAGCACAGCTTGAAGCGCAAAACGAGGTGTATTGTGGGGTAACCAGGGTCTTCGCAGTTGATGTTTGAGAGACTTGAGCTGTGTTGTGGACATGATGACCATCGTCTGCCAGCATGGGCCCTTATCGTCGGAAGACTTCAGCTTGCCCTTACGAATTGTATGCTCGAAAGGGTCCGACCATTCGATATCGCGGGGGCGCGTAAAGGAAGAGAAGAAGGCTTGGTCTCTGAGAGAGTCAGTTTCCGAGAGCCTGGTATCTATGTCGGAGACAGAATGCGCCAGATTTCGGATCGTTTCGAGAAGTGGCCACCCCAGTCTTACCCAAAACGGCAGCGGATGACGTTGTCTAGCTTGCTCTGCTCTGGAGGCTGAAATGTGGCTTGGTCTGGTGGAGAACACCTGGGGCTCAGACGAGGATCGGGCTCAGCAGTTGGCATCCATGAAGTCTAGTTGTCCGTCCTGTTTGTGTAGATAGCGCGGGTCTTCAGCATCCGGTCGTCAAGAAAATCATCATGGAGAGTAGTCACCAGGTCTTCCTCCAATTCCGTGCCGTTTGCCCATTCCGCAAGGGGACCAAGCACGTAATCTAGGGCACAAAAAGGGCTGGTCTCATCGGGCATGCCTTGAGCAAGACATGGCACTTTCGCTACAACCTAAAATTCATAATGAAAAACAAGGTCGAGAATTTTCTTGGCAAAATTTGTCCTATCCAAAACGCCCTCGTCCCAAACTACCGTCTCTAAAAGTCGGCAAAAGAGTGAGAAGTTCGGCAGCTTCGTGCTCCCGACCAGCCAGTATAAACGGCTCAAGCCCATCGGAAGACCGCTTAATTCGGCCCGCCGTGCTGCCCAGCTGATGTCGCAACAAAGATGACGGCCTTGAACCTGCTTAGCGATCCGCCCAATCTCGATTGACTCCAAGCCCTGGAAATCAATGTGGGCGAAATGTCGGATGACTTCATCTCCTTCTGGGAGCATGGGCCGTTCGGTTCAGTTGACTGCAATCAAATGCAATAATTTGCGTAAATCATGGTTTCTGTCGCTGTGTACAAAATCATGATCATTCTAGGGTTGGCCATGATCTAGTCCCTGATCGAACCATAGACGAGGTGATGCCGTGAAAGAGCTCAGCAAAACTGCTCATGTGTGTTGACTGTGTTTGATGGTGTGAAGGTGGGCAATACACCTTCAAAAGCCACGGGGTTAGGCACGGCATGGAATAGCATACATGGCATTGGAAAGGTCAGCCTTTTGCCGACTCATCTATCGTAATTTATTTGGCTTCTCGGATTCGATTTACATGATCGGAGGCTACCCAGTAATCCTATTTCCTGTACGACATCCATCGCATTGATGTGCAAGCATACTCTGGTACAGAGATACTGCAAAAAAATTGGATTCCGGACTGACCGACTGAGTGACAAACGCACATGGTGCCGCCGCCAACCGTCGTGAAGAGGCGGTGCACACATATGAGTCAGCAGACGTGCAGGTTGTCTCTCTCCATCTGTTGAGAGGCCACCCTGCCAATCTAGCCTGAGAACATGCTTCTGACGATGCTAGTAATGGCTTTGCATGGGTTTTCTGATGCTGAATTGGTACCCTGCCCCGAATCCTTGACGACCGCCGGCCCCATATCCCCGGGGCACCATGGGTCGACTTCCGCAGCCCCGCTTTTCGGACGGAAACCCGACGCGGAAGGACGGCACCGCGACCCGGCCTTCGGGCCTACAAGAACTAGCTTGGGCGAGCCCTGACGTGTATAAATAGAACGGCGACAACAACAGCTTTACTGAAGTGATGTTCACGGCCAGCTTGGTGCATGCACTTGTAGGCTTCTGCACTTGTATCTCGATGGATGTGCGGAGATGTGGAATGCTTGATGGGGGCATTAGTTTGGCGGGGCAGTCTGTTGCCTTGGACCAAAACGGAGATAGCTGTGCGAGCATTGCGCGATCTTTGGAGGTGGACCTGGCCGAGGACGCGCGAAAGCTCTGGGCAGCTCCTCTTGGTGATCCTCGCCATCACCATGATGCATGCCAGTCTGATTCAAGGCCGCTATGATCAGGTCTTTTCGGAACGATCATTCACAGCACACGCTGTTCCCTGGTTTCAATTGAAATAAGATCAATGCCGAAAACCACAGCACTATTCATGTGTCAAGAATCTCAGACTTGAAAATTGGCCAATACGAGTTCTCTGCCCAACGTGCAAGGTGCTGTGGCGCGACAGGCGTGGTCATGATACCAAACCCGGCTGACGTCTTCCCGAGCTCGACCTCTCTATAGAGGACGGCTCTTCCATCTTTGATGGCGCTCGCAACAAAAGACCAACTGTGGCCATTGATGATGACACCAGGCAGAAACGGTATGGCCGGCAAGTCGCTTGGGAATTTTGCCAGACCCCGCCACTGCGACGGGTGCCATGTTCCCAATCTGCACCGTCGCCTTCTCGAGGTCGGCCCCGGAGCGCTTAGTCTCGAACGACACGACGATGGGGCTCTTGCACAGGACATCATGGTCCGTGTGGTTGATAGTGACTTCAAGCCGCATCTTGCAAACCTCATCAATGCAGTCGGCCTCAGGACTCTTAAGAGGAGGGCGGATAATCATGCAAAAGTTGACCATATTCGATGGTGATTTCTTGGCCTTGTATGCCTTGGCCTCCTGGGCGCCGATGCAATATGTGTAGTCGACAAGACCACACTAATCGTTTGGCCGTAGCGCCCAATCCATCATCAGTAAATGAAGCTCCGTGTTCCAGCCCGATTCGCCGAGAATATTTAGTTTGCAGTCTTCGCCTTGGTCGAGCAGTTCCGCAACGAGGCCTCGAGGTGGGAATCGGAATTCGGATATTTCAGGCTCCCTCTCTTCGGAAAAGGCGTAATCTGGTATATTCAAGCCGGCGTACTGGCGTTTGAAAAGTGAAGAGGCAGCACCTGGTCTACTAGTCGACCACGAGCAGCCCCAGCAGAAGGGCATGGGACGGGCGGCTGCAGGGCGAAGAGAAGATTGCACCTCAAAGCGCATGTCTTGTGGTATCAAGTGGAAGGCCGATAATTGTCCTGTAGCTCTTTGACGAGCCTTGCGAGCGAAGGCGGCAAGTCGGCACGGCTCCTTGGGAACACGCGATGTACGAAGCCATCAGCCTCGACGGCCAGTCTCCTTGACTGCTTGGTTGGGGAGGACGTCCGCGATGTTACGCTAAACACCGGTGAGAGGATAGGGGTCTGTCGGTCGTTGAGATGCGACGCTCGTCGCGTGACGTTGATGTCGAGGGTATTGAGGGGAGTGTCCGCGCCTTGCTCTTCGTCACTGTCGCCGTTGTCGATGGCTTGGCAGCGGTCATTGTGCTTCCGTTTTCGTCCCGCTCAAGACGTGAAGTCCGTAAGAGAGTGTACAGAGGGTGTCGAATGCGACACAGGCGGCGATTAGGGGTGAATTGGGTGCCGTGCTTCGAGTGTTGTGGTGGACTGGGTCTGGTTCGCTGGGAGACTGGCCAGCCTTAGGATATTGTCAGTATCGTAAGGGCAGGCCAATGTGTGGCCCTCACTTCAGGCCGCAGTTTTGCCGATGTGCTGACTCAGCCGCCTTGAAGCCCCACTCCAATCGAGCTGACGTCACACTTGCTGCGAGCGGAATAAGAGCATCACAACCTATGAACTTGCCTAAGAATTGTGAAAAATGTTATTGCCCGTGTTAATCTCAGAGATATCAACAGATAGTTCTCAAGTTCAAAATTTACTGTTCACCGTAATGGTCTGCACACTTTTCCGCGTCTTGCACATCTTACGTGAAAACTACCATGGCACGACGTCATCCTAGCAAAAAGGCCCTCGGCCATTCGTGACGAGACTGATTGCTGAGGCTTTCTTCTCAAGCCGAGAAATTCCGAATTCCGATACTGGGAGGTGTTATAAAGGCAAGGCATAGGCCCATATCCCGCGCACAAGGCCGTTGCATTGCGACGCCGCCCGCATTCTCATTTTTCGGCGGAGTGGAGGCTCTTGATTGCCGCACCGTGTCCGGCTCCGAGGTATCCACACGGGCAGTCGATGCCGTAGTGGAGTGCCGCACGGTCTTACAATCTTGCACCTGCCTATGGCTATGGCGACTGCCTTTTGTGAAAGAAGCAGGCGCTGCAGGACCGCAACTGTTTGCAACAAACAGTGAACGGCTTCGGCGGAGAAGGAGCCAACCAAATCCAACGACGTGCCATCATCACCTCCACCCAGCTTTTCGCTGCCCACGTCGACGTCTACAACCATCGTCGCACAGAACGCATTCTGTCCAGCGTCCCCGTCGCATCAATCATACCGAACTCGCAATGTCCAGCGCGCATTATTTGAGGCGGCGAGCGGCGCTGCCTGTCGCCCGGCCGAATTATCGGTTCCTAGCACCTTCTCGCAATCGCGATCACCACGCAAACGGCGACGCTTCGCAGACCACCTGGTTCGACGAGGACACGCACGGCGGGGCGATCCAGACGCACCTGCGACGCGAGATGCAGGTCAACATTCAGACCTACCTCCAGGACGCCGGGGTTGCGCCAACAACGGCAGCTATCATGTCGACCGACATCGTCCGGGACGTCTAGGTATCTTGTCGAATGCCCATAACTCTGTCCTGCTGGGTGATTAGAAGCTAACATTCTTTCTCCCAGAAGTCTGCCCGCCGCCATCGTCGATTCTCTGTTCGATACTCCGATCGTGCCCCACCGCCTCTGCTGGTTCGCGTCGCCCTCCCATTGCTCTCAATCCGGCCCCTCCTGATACTCACCTTCTTTGCAGCGCTTGTCGCTGCTCTGATTTGGGTTTGGAAGCTACATGGACTTCATGGGATGAGTCAAATGGCACTCGGCATCTTCGGACAATGACTGGAAATGCGATATTATCAGTTTATGGGAGGAGGGGTCTTTGACGCAGACTTTTGGTAGTCGCGCCTAGAAAAGAAGGCTGCCTGACCATGAGCCAAATGAAGCATGACGGAAAACTTTGTAAGGTCCGAGGTGGAATATGCCAGGGCGACACTTGCTTCAATACAACCATTCTAGTGCGCGTCGGGGAATTGTGCTATCAATAGGGCCGCCTTTCAGCGAGCAGATCCCAGTTTGTTCAATATATTGACCTTATCACACGACGCCTTGCTCTGTCTTTGGCTTCTAAACCCTCCTACCAATTTATCTGTCTTGGCGCAGCATCATTTCGCTACTTTGCTCCCGCATGATGACTGGTCGTTTCTCTGTTGCATGTTGGTTCATTTGGGATGTAACAAATCATGTTCATTTAGGACGCTGTCCCAATGGCCAAAACGCGAGAAAGGCACCGCAAGGTTGTAATGTACGGCTTCCAAAATAAGTTATGGACAAGTACTGTTTCGTAGTGGAAATGAGAATCTTGATGCCGGGCCTGTTTGGTGTTCAAGCCGTATTCGGATCAGCCGGCATGATTATGCTAATTGGAATTGTCATCTCGTACGCTGCTCCCGATGCTTCCACGACCTCTAATTACCCATGCTCGGGAAGCCCCCCAATATTCCATCGGCCTCTACTTTCCTCACGCCGCAGACACCCAAGGTCAGGGGGTCAACCTCACTCCCCAATGAAATCTCAATGAAGCCCTATCTTCAACAAGCTTCCAATGCCTCTCTGATAAGCAGCAACTGCGAAGCCAAGCCTCCTGCGATGTGCCCGTATTTCGAACACCAAAACTGCCCTCCACTGCGTTCGGCTCACCCAAAATACCCACCTCCAAGCCAGCCTGACACGCGTTTGAGAAAAACATGACTGTGGTTAGCGTGCCTGATCCCGGCTTTGGCCTACCACGACTGACTGCAACTTTGCGAGTTGTATCACCAACTTCAACATAATTGTTTGGCAATCAGGCCTCCGCATTCAGATGTCAACTTATTTGGTACACTTCACGATAGGTCTATGAGTAAGCTCAATACCTTTTGAACAGGAGGAAGAATACGGCGCAAGGATAGACTGAAGTCGCTTCATCATATGAGGGACTTCTGTTCGATGACCACGGCCGCTAAGGCGAGAAAACAGACTTCACTTCATACTGGACCCCCCAGCACCCATGCACTACTAACGAGACGCCGACACCGTTTATGAAATCTGAGAGGTAAGTAAATGCGACACCCGGACGACTGTAGATATGTCTAAAGGCGTGCGATTCAATGTCGATGCTTCGAAGGACGCAACATTCAATTACGCTGACATTAACGCTGCTACAACCGTCAAAATGTTTGAGGAGAACCCAAATACGTAAATACTGCTTACTCTGCGCATAAAATACGAGCTCTGCTCGCCGGGCAGTGTCATTTGGCTATCCGGGCAGTGTTCACCACACGCATGTAATCCGTATGTTCTACTAAGACCCCTTAGCTTCCCTATATCCAAGCGATTACGTTTACTACGTACTCACTTTTATATCGCTGCCATCGTTGCTGCTATTGTCATCGTCTTTCGTCGGCTATTGCTGTCGTCATTATTCCTTCCCTTATAATGAAAGCGCTACGCGAGACAGATTGAAGTTGTCAGGGGCACTGCCCGGTTTGCAAAACTCTGAAGTGAATGCCATAGAATAGTCCACTATGTCCAGTATTTGGCATCCCTGAAAAGCTTCTAGTAGTGAGGCGTCCCCTCCGACTTGCGATGTCGTGCCTAAACAACACCTCGACCTCTGAAAGATCACGGAGTGTAGAAATAGACACCAAGAGCGGGTTTCGCTTGTTGGATTATGTGCAATTGCTACAAGACCGTCGGCAAAGCAAAACGGCATCGACCAGTGCGGGAGTATTACCAGGCCCAAACAAGATTCATACGGCACGTTACCTTCAATATTGATGTGGCCGATATGGCCATCAGTACATTAAACTTGTCTGGGGGCTTTGCATGATTGATTTGACACGAAGGTGGTGAAACCAACGGATGATGAGATGCTGGGACCAGCCGATAGATTGAGAAAATGCGACGCTTGGTTCAACAAGTGAGCTAGCCCTTCGGAACCTTTATTACTATCGTCCGATGCCTGGTGTTGACGAAAGCCTGAACACACAAGAGCTTCCACTGCCCAAGCCGAGCGGGCACCCGATTTCCACACAAGGGCCCGAACGTAATTGAGAGTGAAGGTTGAATGATTTGAGCTGGCTAAGAAAAGGCATTTGATATTTGAGAACTGCACCACTTAAGACAATCACAAATAACCTCATTGTCAGTGTCTCCAGGTTTGTGTCTGTTATGTCCTCGTCCCTCAATTAAAATTCTGTCCTGTGTTCTGATGCAATGTGAGAGCGTTCTCAATCTGCATGATCGTCGAGATGGAGTCTCATTCACAATGAGCATCTGTATAGTCACAACAAGCGATTGTCAATAACACTGATGTGGTTACATTTGCGACGACCTCGGAATGATGTCTGCAGATGCATTGCAATGGATGCTACTCTGCCTCCGACTCGCCCATCGACTCCTGAGTTGCCCGTTCTACACGGGGACTGGGCTGAACTGTGGTAAATGCTCCAGAGAACCAAAGCACTTCAACGACGATTGAACATCCATTCTGACTCCATTTCAGTCAGAATCTCTGACCAACCTGAGCCCGCCTTGAGACATGGGCTAGATGGTCGATGGCCATCGCCCCGGCGCCAAAGGCAACTTATTGATCTTGAGCAAGCAGCGGGAAAAGCACCTGGGAGGAGTCAAAATTCAAAATAGGCCAGATATGGAACACGTGCCATGCCCCCCGGCTCCCGATCCTATCTGCTATCGACCACCTAGTGCCGCTCTCACGGTCGATTGCGGAAAGTTTCCTGTCCTTTATGTCAAACAGAGTGTAATTTACATTTGTGAGACGGGATACTTAGAGGCTCAAGTGCTCTTAACGAATGACCGGGCAGACAGCAAGAGCAGCTTTTGCTCTCAGGCATCCATAAAGCGCCGGGCGGGGTTTGCGTTGGTTTTTGCGGCAAGCTAAATATTCCCACTGCCAACCCCGAAAGGTCCAACCTCACTCATTCACTCACCCTCACTCATTCACTCACCCTCACTCATTCACTCACCCTCACTCACTCACTCATACTCACTCACTACTAGTTACTGAAAAGCTTCACTCACCTTCCTTTGCGACAAAACAGTGGGAGCTTTTGAACACTCACTAAAGAAAAAGAAACAAGACGCTCTTACTACTCACTAATCCCACTCACTGCAAGCCCCCTCTGTCGTGAGAAAACTCCCACTGGAAAGCTCCCACGTTCAGGGGGTGAAGGCGCAAAAGGTTTCTGAGTGTCCGACCATGCTGCATCTTCCACCTCCCGACCTCAACTTCAATCTCGCTCTCATCCTCAACCTCGTTCTCTTCCTCATGCGACTACAAGTTTCCGCCATGGCATCTCGCCGCCACCCACAGAACCTCCTAGTCTTTGGTGGCAGCGCCTCATAATGCGTACCGTGAATCATCAACAACAACGACCGGAGTTGCGCCTAACGCCGTACTGCAGACATCTCCCAGGACCAGTTTACCACCAGGCTTAGCGTCCGCTTACCACCGCATCAAAGAACAGGGCTGCGTCTTCTGCAATTATTTCCTCCTTCTTCGACAGTATTCGAGTTAAAATTTAAAGAAGAGACTGAGAAGCAACGCAATATGTGGTTTTTCTCCGCGAACGAGCAATCCCCAAACCCAGCGTCCAGCGATCCCCTTGACGCTTGCACTCACTGCAGAATCTCTCACTCACTGAAACATCTCGCTCTTGAAAAAAAGCTTTCACTCAACAAGCTCCTACCTTAACCAGCATCGACATTGCGAAGGCAGTATCAAGTCCCAGATAGACGCATACCGGAGGACGCAGCTTTGGGCCTCTCCTTAATCATGTCGTTGCAGTGCGCAACTCGATTCCGCCGTGCATCAAATTGCATGTTGGTGGCGTTGGCGGCGATTGCGGCCGCTGCCATACATGTGAAAATGGAGACGCATACGGCGGACTGCTGAAACAAGGAGGTGTAATAGGACACATACTCGGTGCAAACCAGAGTGATCGTGTTTTGATAGGCTCTTATGGTCGATCTAGTCCCTGGCAGATCGATGCGACAGAAAGCAACCTCAAGCAACGTCCGCTTCGAAAGCAGCGACTGGAGGTGCGTATTTGGCCTTTTACCAGCGCTGTGGCTTGTACAGCAGGCGACCTTGCTCATATTCGTGGGCTGATACGACAATGCGAAATTTAAAACTTCCCTGAGTTCTGACATTTTCATGAGATCCTGAGCCAGACTGTTCGGTCCATTTATCAAATCAACCGAGCAAGCTGAGACGACGAGAAGCCAGGCAGCCAAGCGATATTTGTGGTACATTGCGATAGCTCATTACACAAGGTCCGCAGCTTATCCCTGGCTACCCGACCTGGAATGTGCCAGCCCCTGACGGCCAGTCATCTCACTCGGATGAGCTCAGCACTCCTCGGCAAGAAGACAATTGTCACCAGCAACCACGGGTCCCGCGGAGTTGTTGAGGCTCCCTGAAAGAGCCGCAGCACATCTGGCCGAGGTTCTGTTGTCGTTTGCCTCCCTGGCCTGAATACACATCTCAATAACGACGA